GCTTTCATGGAAATTTCGTGATAAGTAAAAAAAATAACAAATGGCAAAGAAAATATTCATCGTAGCAAATCCTATTGTAAGAATTATAATATTTTTTTAAAATTTTATATACTATACATGTGGTATATATATTTATTTTAGGTAAGATAACCGTACTTTATATGTACCTAGTTAGACTTCGTCATTTTTCTAAATTTTGTGCTGAGTTTTAATTTTGAAAATTAAAAATTAACGGTTACATTCGAAAGAAGGAACATTTCTGAATGTTAATAAAAAATATAAGATAAGATTTTAAAAAAGTAGCATTCCACGTGTGTGTACTAGGTGTATATACCCAATATGATCTAAGTATAAATATGTTTCTCTTTTTCGTAAAAAAAATGTTAGAAAAATAAAAACTAAAGGGTTTCTTCTATTTAGTGACATAAGTTGATACAAATGTTGTTTTATCTTTTTTTGCATTCTACAAGTATTATTAATAAAGATAGAACGATATTTGTGTCGACTTATGTCATTAAATGGAAAGCACCCAAAGTAATCCAATATCTATAAGACTATAAACTCATTAACATGTTGATATGTTAATTGATATATAAAAATATATAAAAAATATTTTTTCAAACAATAGACTTATTTACTTATTTATTTATTTACTTATCTATTTATTTTCATGATGTTTAGCAAGTAAATCAGAATTCATAAGCTGAAATAGCAAAAAATAAACACAAAATATCTGGAAAAAAAAAACGATATTTTAAAGAAATCTATGAAACATCACTATATGATTTGAGTAAAAGTTATATAAAAATAAAGAAATAAAAAATTTAATGAGAGCAACGATGTGACTATGTAAGTCATCAGAAACACGCAATACGATTAATTAGCCTAGGGTTTGGCAAAGGGTTAACCAAAGCAATTAATTGAAAGTAATATTGTGATTTATCCTGCAATTATAATTAATAACTTACTAAAAATAGATCTGTGAGAATTTTAGTTAGATCATTGACATTCCGCTATTTCGATTTCACTCTAACATCTGTCACATAAACTTTGGTAGTTTACTGCACCCGGAGCAAAATAAGCAGAAGAGTGCGCCTCACTTACGGCTTTGCGGCAATGGGAAACGTAGAAGGGCCTTTAAGGAGAATAAGAAAGCAGCGACGATGATGACAAGGTAGAAGGAGAAGCATCGTAAAAAAAAAAATATCCACCGAGCTGTAAAGAGAACCGCGTTTACGACCGTCGTTAAGACCACTCTGAGCAACCTGTCTGATTACATTGATGCTGCTTACTGCAAAAGCGGGACTAATTCTTTCAACGATTCGCCGAACGCTTGCTGCAATTATTAGAGGTGATCACGAATCCTCGCTTTGTCGTATATGTGACATTAAATCTGCGACGATCGATTTTTTTGCGCCGACGAATCGAGAAACGAGTATTAACGTATGTAATTGCTCTAATGAGTCTGCCGCACGCAAAGGTTACCGAGAATACTTCGCCGAATCGATTCACGCTACAATCTAAAACAAAAACATCAAGAGAAATCGTGTATCACACGAATATATTGCGTGATTATATTTGCTCATATACAAGAAGAAACATTGAAATACGACATTAATCTATTGCGCTAAAATTTGTGTTGCGAAAATTTTTTTTAAATATATAGCGATAACAATCAATAGAAAATCAATAGAAGTCCGGGTCTCTCGCACTGCTTATCGCATAAAAAAAAGAGAAATATGTGTGTGTGTGTGTGCGCGTGCGTGCGTGCGTGCGTGCGTGTGCGTGCGTGCGTGCACGCGCGCATTTACATTATACAAAGAATGCGCGATTGACCATCGGATTCCACCATTCGGGCCAGTGCAGAGTCAGTGCGGAGAGCGAACGATTATGAAGAAACCGACTCATTTTCAACAGCCCTAATCACGAGCTGGAAGCAATCAGTATCCGAGATAGCCGACAAACCTTGCCGACATTTTAATTACCGCTTCAATTTTCATATCGCGGGTATCGCCGTGTGCTGTTTAGCGAGCCGTACATTTTTAGGTTCTTTTACGATCATCATTACGCCGTAATGTTGATGCCCCCTTCACTCTAACGACGGATCTCATGGCATGTATCCGATAAATCTGGATTTTCCCCTCCTCTCTCTGTTCTATATACATATACACTCTATCGTATCACTATTAAATAATTCATATGATAACAGCAACCGGTTATTGCGCCGCAAAAATTTTTCAGTTTTAGACACGAAATGATACATCAATGATTTTTATCATGAATGTTTAAATATAACTGCTACCAGAAGATTGAGATGTTCGTATACATGAATAGCACGATGAAACATGCGTCATGACAAAAACGAAGATGCTGCGGTTTGAGGAAATATACCTGCACAAATATAACTACATATTATATTACGAAGAAGTATCTTCATTTTTTCTCAATTTAGACATATATGGACATCTACATGTAGTATCATACACAGAAAAATACATACGCAAGTAATAATTACTTGTTTCAAATATTTCAAAAATTCATATATCTGCAAATCTATCATAAATAAATTTATCAAAAGCATCGAAATATATTTTGAATCTTAATAAGTTTAATTCACTTTTTAATCACAAGTTTACTTCAATCTGATTATTAAATTAAGACAAATTCGATTTGCTTGTTATATAAAGTTTATTCGATCAATTGTATAATATTCTTCACAAGAAAATAAACTCTTGTTTTGAGTACATTATAATGATTTTCTAAAATTTGTACTAATTATTATCAAGAAAATATTTAAGATAATCGTAATTTAAAAAGAAGAAACTAAATTGACTCATCATTTTTCTTAGAAATAGAATGATATTTTTTTGTGTATAAGAATTATCGATATTGGTTGTTTAAATATATCTAAAACAAATAGAAGTTATTCGCATATTAAAGTACCTAGCCGGAAGTGACTAGAGTATTCGAGAAACCATTGTAAACATGAATAAATACTAATCCCTACTAACATTAATCTAAACAGAAGAATGTCAATATTAACTCTTACCGTACCATCTACAATTTGGTGCCTCATCCATACCATCAAGGGTCACTAGAATCTCTTCGTTTTTTTCACACACACAACTCTTCAAAATAATTTTAAAAATCTCTAAAAATTTTCACCAACATATTTTTAACTTTCTAGAATAAATATTGATTCTTTATTTTGGAAAATAATAAAATGTAGTATAATTTATAATTACCGAAAGACTTAAAAAAACTTGCACGAACAGGAATCGCTCGGTCACTAGTTACCCATATTGGTACTGTAAGGGTTAAGATTTTAATGACATTATCTTATATATGACAATATTTTATGATTCGTTTTCAACTTTATAATGGTCGCCATCTCATTCCCTTGTATTTCCATGCTATACCGTGTGTTATTTCGTGACCGTATTAGCACGCCACTTTCTTTGTCAACTCTTTGTAAGGTTAAAAGAAGAAAAGGATACATCCTGTTGTGACGTATCTTATTGTTAGTTCGAAGAACGCCTTTTAATTAAATTTATTCTTCTTTCCTTTTATATCATTGTATATATATTTTTTACAGATGAATCGAACACTGCTAATGTGAGAAAATCGTGTACAACTGAGAATTTTTAACTCTTTTTTAAATAAAATGTCACTATTGTTTATAAATAACACAAGATTGTTCCTTTTCAGCGAATTTGATAAGAAAGTAATACAAAATTTTAAAGTAAATATATCATTTTTAATGTACGCGGAAACTCACGATTTTCCAATTTGAAATTCGTTTCTTGGATGTATAAATTTTGTGATTAATCATTTAATAAATATACGTACACACACATGCATTCATTCGAAGTTTATCTAAATATGCAAACTACGTGAAATACGAGAGTTCCTAGAATGTATCAGCAATTAATCAAGACTTGCCGCAATCTCCTTGAGGCGCCAGCAAATATACGAGAACGAATTAAATGTAAATACCGTAGACAGCTTATCTTTAAGGCAACACGCGTAATCCCAGATAGCCAACTGGAGTCGGATTTGGGTTCTGCTTTCTCACATATAGCAAAAGTTGTTTTCTTCAAATTGCCCAGTAAGGACGATAACCGAGTATCATCATGGACAAGAATGGGATGGAGAAAACTGGCCAACACTCGTAAATTCGATTCTTTATAGTGCCACCGTTTAAGCTGCAGCTGGGAAGGAGGAACAATCGACACATCGGTGACTTTGAGTTCCCGCACGCTTTATGCATTTCTTGAGCGGTTGCTTTGAAGATATTCGCAAAATTGATACTAATAAAGATTTCTTTGAAAAAAATGTAATATAAAAGTCACTATATAATTTGCCGTTTATTCCAAAGATGTAAGTTAATAGAATTTGGCGGCCTCAATGCCTCTCATAATCTTTCAAAATCAGTTGCTAATGATACTGATTACGATTCTTAACAGATCAATAAATTTGATCTTTGACAGTATTATGCAACGATTATATTAGCACGACGAATAAAAAATGATTGCTTTTGATAATTACAGATGCTAAAAGTCAGGAATTTAAATAAAAAATGTCATGTGATAAAGAAAGAAAGAGGTGGAGCAACGGACAGATGAGCAGCCCTTTGCTGACCTAATACCGCAGTCTGCTTAACTCTCGGAAAGAAGGAAATTTTATAGCTTAGAATCTGTTTTATATGCGCCGGATTTGCGATTACGACTCTCTCTCGATATCTCTTGCGATCCAAACAAAGGAAGAGCACCAAGAATAATGGAGACTGCGATTTATGTTCTAAACCGAATACTACTCTTTTTCCACACACTTAACGTTTATAGCAAATTCAATTTCATCAGACGCCTTGCATACCAATGACAAATAATAAGAGGATTTCTCAGTATCCAAATATTCAATATTTAAATCAATATAACTGATTATGTCTGTATAATAAATTTTTATCAAAAGTCCGAAAAATAAGATAAAAATAGACTTACCAACAACATGTAGAAGATTTAGTAGAAAGGTCAGTAGGAGAATCAGGAAGAGGTTCGATAGGAGAATCAGTAGAAGACCCAGCAGGAGAATCAATAAAAGGATCAAAAGATTTAACAGATGGTTCAGAAAGAGAATTAAGTGTTTCAAGAGACGTATTTTTTGTTGTCATTGATAAGAAATTAGAGGACCAAACTGGAAAATTTTGGGATGGACACTCCAAATTCATAAGTGGATACTGTGATTTTATTCCATCAAGCTGTTCCTCGTATGGTGTGTGCAAGATCTGTGTTGGCGGGACATAACAACATGTCGTCGTCCGCTGGAATGTCATGAATGACATTGGTTCTTCTTCACGAATGACTGAAAAAGAAGAAAAAAAGAATAATTTTATTCACTGTTGCATTAGTAATTTTATTTTTTACTATAACGATAAAGATAATTAAAATAAATGCAAACAGCGTATCCTAAATAGTAATTACTTCGCAACATAAATTTTCAAGAAATAACTACAATTGACCTAATTTAGAAAGATTTAATTTACAAAAAGACCTTTTTAAATTTGTAACTATTCGTTCCTTATCAGTTATTTAATTAGTACAATACCAATACAATACCTATAGAGAAAAGTCGCTGACATAGGTTTTCTAACACCTATATTTGTGGTTATAAGGTGACACCCCCTTATTTTTCGGAAACTAACTATTGCACTTTATTAATATTAATAAAATCATGATCTGTTTAACTAATTAAAGAAGTACAAATTCATAATTCGTAGGTTTGTGGCTTGTTTCTATATATCTATATCAAATCAGCTAAAAACGAATTCTACAAATGCGAAAATAAAATTCTTACGATTTTCTTTTGCAAATTGTGAGGTTTAAATAATAGTGACTATATTATTGATAATATTACGTCATTTTAAATACTTGTAGTTTCCGAAATAAGTTTTATTTATATTATTTTTTCTCTTAGTCTTTTCATAATACGATTTTTAATTTAAAATTGGGGTGCAGCGTAAACTCCGACACATCTGTCCGTAAAACAGACCATGAGCTAACTTAATCTTTATAATGTTGGTTTATAGTGTCAAATAAGTTTATTGGAGCTGAAGGCAATCGTGCATATATGGAACAACTCTAGGAAAACTATCGCGTTACATATTTGCATCTTGCAGAACAGCATAAAGTAAATATGCATATAATTCAATAAAAATGTTTTTTATAACGAAGTAAAATGATTCTGAAAAATCTTATATACATTCACTTATAGGTACTTTATACAGATAATTCCTGTAAAAGAAAAAGAATAGGAATACGTAGCATTACTGCCTACTGTGTCAGTTTTAAGCCCATTTTGTCAGAAGCTCATTTTTGCATAATTTACGAAAAACTTAATTATTGCAAAATTGTTAACAGTATTATAAAAATTGCTTATACTATCTGATAGAAGACACTTTTTACTTTGTATTTATGTTTTTAAAGTTATATTTTTACCTTTTGTTTAAGAAATATTGTCTAAAAACAAAGTGATATGTCGGTATCGGTGACCTTCCCCTATGTCATCTCACAAAAGTGTCATAAGGTAGAAGTTTACTTTTTACTTGTGTCAGTATTTTCCGACTATTTTATTATTTCGTAATGTAAATATACAACGAAATATCTCGTTAATTGTTTACAATAGATTAATTGCTGGGTTTAGTTAGATTTGAAAAGCAATTCTACAATTTTAAGATCTTGATTACTGTATTCAATAAGTAATCACCTAAAGATATTATCGGTAATGTAAGATTTTGAATCAATCCAATGGGCGTACGCAGGATTTCAGCCAGGAAGAGGAGAGAGGGCAAAAATTTATCTCTTCACATAAAACTTATTAAAATATACTTATGTTGTGAAGCTAGTCTTCGAAGATTTCAGCGAATTTCAGCTTTTTTCTTCCAGCTTCTTTCTTTTCGCAAGCATAGTTTATTAGCATACATAGCTAGTACATTGAGGCGATTTTCCAATATTGTTAACTACGATCAGGTTTTCATTCTTCGCAATCTACTAAAAGACCTTTCAATGATGCTCGTTGTGCACGGTTGGGCTAAGGAAATATGCAAGATATGTTGCTGGGAAGAAAGTTTAAGCTTCTTTTAACACCTCTGCTAACCCTAATTCTTTAAGTTCCTCTTTCTTAATTCGTTTTTTATCCCTCGAAAGAATATATTACAGTTCATTGTGAAAATTATTCAAATTATAATAGTCAGAAAAAACTGTGCTTTTTTAAAAATATTTTAATGTCATATCCAACATAACAAAAGAATGTAATGCTAACAATGATAAAGTAAATTCTCGTAAAAAAATCGCTACTTTAATGAAGATATTAAAGAATCTAGAAATTATATATCAGTAACCTTTTCTTAGTTCTTTAATAGATCTAAATGTATAAGCCAATCATATTAAATAATTTTACAACAGTTATGTGCAAAACTGCTTTATATGATAAACGCAGTCATTGATTTTCATAATTTAATTATTTCTTCTTGATAAAATTTGGGGGGGGGGGTGCATACTTGCTTCTCCTCCTGCGTACGCCCATGATCCAATACACGCTTCATAGAATTTAGTTTTCAGTTTAAAATGAACCAAATTTTTAAACCGTTTTGCACAGTGTATGAACTTCTCCAATCATTAAGAGAGAGAAACCATCTATTGCATAGCTTCGCTCGACTATTGCCTTTTGTGTTTTCATTGCTTAATTGATAGAATATAAGTTTAATTGTCATCATTTCCGCTGGAAATAATAAATACATTCATTCCAGCCCCTTTTTTTCTTTTTCAAACTTTCCTTTGTGACATAATGTTAAAAGCATCATAAGTGACCTAAATTAGTTGCTCTTAACTGTCGGGATAGACTTCTAGTTCCTATTAAACTAAATCAAACTTATAAAGCTATTGAAACGATATCGCGTACTTCATTTTAAAAGTCCTCACTTCGCGTATTCACGTGAATTCGAAAGATGATTTATATTTATCTATTATATACTGCAAGGACGATATCAATTGAGACATTTCAAAGCTAATCTAACGATGTTTACTATTTCGAAATTAATTCAAAAAAGGTCAAGGCTAAAGAAAAGGATGATTTAGGTTTATAGACTTTCAAAGAAAAATATCGTAAATCTAGAACATGATATGTTTTTATCCCTTAATTTGAGACATAAATTTTGTATGATTTAGACGTAAATTACACGTCTAGTTACTTAATTGCGGCAGGCTCTTGCTCCGCGTGCATACTGATTACGAGGGTACTTGAAAATTACGGTGAATTATGCGTAAGATTACAGGATTTATTATACACTGAAGATTATGGAACAATTTCAATTCACAAAGCAAGTATGCTCTCTTAAATCCAAGAATTCTCTATTTAATTTATTGCAAATGATATTGTTTGATTGCGGGGATGTATTCTTGCTGATCTTTTTAGACAGATTTACAATCTATCACATGTCATAATTTTAGATAATACCTGCATACTTATTTTATATTTTATATTAGCTCCTCTTCACAATAGGTTCAATGCTTTTGATGTTAAAAGCAGCAGTAAGTTTTATGGTATATCAGTGATTTCGTCTATTATTAATGCTCTTGAAGCAAATAATCGCAGTTAAAATTTACACCATCGTAAACTTCGGATCGAGAAATTACTTTACACAATTTCAATTGCACAATCTGTTCGTTTAATGCGTCAGATATAAATACAATATGTACTTATGAAATTTGTGATCGTTTTTTGATCATCATTTTAGAAATCCATATGTGTAACTTTTGCACGTATATGAAAAAAACACAGTAATGAACATAATTTTAAGCAATATTTAAAAAATTGATATTTCCTGAACCAAATAGAACAAAATAATGAAGCACAAATACAGTCTTCACAATTCTTAATTTCATCTTCGTTTTTAACAAAACAGGATATTAAAATATGTATGACATATGTATATACATATACATGTCACATATATTTTAACATATATATATATATATATATATATATATGTATAACACATTTATTTTGTTCAGTTCCGATTTAGATCTATCGACGATTATGCGTGACGATCATGCTTGGGGCAACAATTTTCTTAGCAGTAACGTCTTGGTGTTTTGCATCAAATGCACGTCCGAAACATTATCGGCCAGTCCAATATTTATGCCGTATACCCCGGGCAAGCGGTGCGGTTATCAACAAACTGCAACTTGCGCCCGCGCAGAAAGCGTATTCTCAAGATTTATTACGGGTCTCCGTTCTCTACGTACCTTCACTCCCATCAAGGACTGCGTCGGCCGCAAGTAAGAAACTTTCCAAGACACGTCTGCGCAGATATCATCCGTGCAGTTATCAACACGCATGCACAAATGATAACTCAATATCGGGCGATGTACATTATAAAAGGTTTATTTATTACGGAGACACGAGGAATAAAAACTGGACGCAAAATCTTGATAATAGCAAAAAAAAGATGTTTATCAAAAAACGTAATATCAATTTATTAATTATTAAAAATGTTTTTTTATAATTGTTTCTTCTTTTTTGCATTGAAAAGTACAAACCTTCTTGCTTTCTAGCCACAATCATTTAGATACTCAGGCCGTGTTCCAATATGCACTACCAGTACTGAAAATCTATAGTTCACGTACGTTACGTATACAGTAGATTTTCAATACTAGCGGTGTATATCGGAACACGCCTTCAGTAATAAACATTTTTGTAATAAGGAGATAGAGAGAGATAAGAGAGAAAAATAAAATAATTTATATTATTTACCATAGTTCCCAGTAGAGAGAGCTTAGAATGTCTATATATAAATACTCACCAATAAAAAATATAAACCATTATATCGATGCAGTTGCCCATACTTTTGCAAGTATTGTTTTAAAAATGGCAAGTATAGGAATTGAGTAATACTTAATCGGGTATACTTATATAAGATTGCATTCGCAATAGATTTATAAAAAGTTTCTTGCGAAAATAACCGTTTGATATTGTCAATTACAGATATTAACGCTTTCTTTGATATGTGGGAATTGTGAGACTAGAGAAGGCGCAGTTGGTGACCTTTCGGACACGACGCTACTCGATATAAGAATGATTTATTCCAGATGCAATCAGGAAGATGAATCCAAGCAACATAGAGAGTACTCGTAAGCCAACCGTAAAAATATTGCTTGCCTCGTAAATTACATCCAACAGCATAGCCTTGCGTACATGCTCGTTTCGCCCGATCCTTTCGCCGTGAGAGATGTCCGCAATCACATGTTTTTTTAACGCTACATTCTCGCTTGAACGAAATCACGTTCGAGATTTTTACATTTTTA